CTTGAGTGGCATAGTCTGAATGGCCCACTCAAAAGACCCCAACTCTTGGAAAGCACCAACGTGCCAGGTCTTTGGGTTGTTTGTTTGAGATAGAACTTCATCAACTCCTGCAGAGCCAGAGGTTAGAGCAAGGTCAGAATGAACCCCAGAGAATCTTGGACTATTTCTAGCCAATTCTTATCATGTTAACTGGTGACAGCAGGGTATTAAATGATGTTGAACAGTCATATCTCAAATGTGCAAATGTGGGCATGGGAAATAAGTGGAATTAAATCAAGTGTTAGCTATGAGGAAATTGCATGAGGTAGTTAGGAAGATAATTAAATATTTATCCAGTCTATGAATTTTCTATAAAGAGAATGCATTGGGCAAAACAAAACTATTGTGGGAAAAATAGAAGAATCTGACCTTTTTTTTTCCCCTGTGAAATTTCCCTTAAAGTCTAATATTAGTGCGCCTGCAAGATTTTTTTTTAAGTTGCTATTTTTATCATACATCTCACTTATGGTTAGGTCTGTGCTTATAGCTCATTTGTGCATTTGTGTTCTTTTAGAATAGGACACGTCACTTTCTTAAATTTTTGTTTGTTTGTGTTTTGGTCTCACCCAGTGAAGCTCAAGGGTTATCCCTGGCTCAGTGCTCAGGAATCACTCCTGATGATGCTCAGGGGATTAAAAGGTCATCCAGGTCACCCGCATGTAAGTCAAACACCCTGCCTGCTGTACTATCTCTCCGTGCCTCTCTATTTTCACTTATGGTAGTAGTACATGTGACCCTGAAATAAATGCATGTTGCTTAGAAAGAAGCATTTGTTACTAAAAAATTTATGGCACACACACACACACACACATACACACACACACACACGCGCGCGCGCGAATATCAAATTAGAATTTCCCCCTGCCCTGAGGATTCTATTCTAAGACACATTTAAAATGTGCAGTTCAAATGCCCTGCAAAGAACCACTGCAGACTAGAGGTCATGAGGCAAGAAATCTAAGGAAGAATTAGAGCCCAATCTATCCTCTGCACATGGAAAAATAATCCAACATCCAGGAAATTTCCTTTGCAGCTAACACTCCTCATAAGCACTAATTCCAGTCACACAAACAAATAAACAAACAACAACAGAAAAGCACATCTAAATGCCATCTTTATTTTGGCCTGAGCTTGCCATAGTGCAATCAAAGCTCCTTAGTGGGTTTTAGTGGGAGAGACGTGGGAGCTGTCCATTCTTGGGGTGGTATGTGCCGCCTCAGGATCCCCCTCATCCTAAAAGGATATGTTCCACTACATCCCTGGGAGTTCACCGGCATGGATCCATGGGGGACCCCAACAAGAGAAGAAAGAGCAAGGGGAAGAAATAGAGGGTGTGGCAGACATGACGGAATTTTAATTCAGATCAAGAGGGACCATCATCCATCCATTTCTGTTAGTTTGTTATTGTTGTTTTGTTTTGGGGCCACACCAGTGATACTCAAGGGTTACCCCTCGCTCTGCACTCAGGAATTAATGCTGGTGGTCCTCAGGGGAACCATATAGGATGCTGGGAACCGAACCCCAGTCAGCTGCACGCAAGGTAAGTCCCCTACCTGCTGTGCTATCTCTCAGGCTGCCTGTTTGTCACTTTTCTGCCAATAGGAGTCTCCAAGAGAAAAACATGAGAAAACTCCTGCAAAAGTCCTGGCACAAGAAAATTCTGGGGTGATTTGGAAAGACAAGAGACGAAGAAGAGGATTTGGGAGAAGAAAGAGAATTCACTAGAACTTTTTTTTTTTCCTTTGGAGACAGTTCTTTGTCTAAGGAGATACAAAGAATTCTGTGGATGAGTCAGCCTGGAAATAACAAAAAAGTCAGTCTGTGAAGTTCTTGGGATTAATAATACCCCAGAGGGAAGTATCCCATTTAAAGGAGAGAAAAAGAGAGGGTGGGGGGGGGAAATCAAATGCCAGCCCCTTTGTTTGATAACATCCATTAATGCAAACTGTCTGGCCGAAATCAGTAACAAGCATAAAAATATCTTGATTTTAAAATCGGCAATGGAAACAAATGTGGGAGTTCTTCAAAGAGGAGCTGCATGGGCCAATCCGGGATCAAACGGTCCTTCCCCGGAACCTGTGTGGGTGCTCCTGCACGGCCCGGGCTACCTTCAAGCAAGACCCAGAGAAAGGAAATCAAAGCAGAGGCACAGGAAGAGGGTTAAAGAAACAGAATCAGGGCCTGAGCTGAGACCAGGGCCCGGGCTCCCCTCAAGAAAACCAAAGCCCCAGCGTTTTATTCTGCATGTGTGCTAAATGCAGAAAAATGACTCCCCTCCCCTGGATTAATTACCGTCGTCCCCTCCCCCCCCCCCCCCGCCCTCACCCCTCCCCTCCAACTCTACTAGAGAAGGTGATCTGGAATGTTCATCTGTCACCAAAGTCTAATTATGGCTGAAGCAATGCGATCAGTCTGCATGAGAGCAAGCCAGGGCTGAGGAGTTGGCTCAGAGAAATAGCAACCGCTGATGGGGGAGGTCCTGGGTTTGACCCCCAGCACTGAAAACAAATCAAAATCAATGAAAATTTCCATCTGAGAATATTATTATTATTATTATTTATTTATTTATTTTTGAGGAGGAGATGCATCTGGAGACACTCAGGCGTTACTCCTGGCTCTGCACTCAGGAATCGCTCCTAGCGGTGCTCACGGGCCCATCTGGGGTTCCGGGGTTCGAGCCTGATGGCTGTGTACAGAGGAAGGCCCTCCAGCTGTCCTGCTGCTCTGGCCCCAAACCACTGACTTCTTGCTCCTCACTGACGGGGTCTGACTAACAAGTTCGTACAAGTATCCCAACGGCACTTAAGGCATGAAAGTGAACAAACTCTTTGATGAACTGATTTCTTAGGCCCAAGCAATGCCAGAAGTGTTTTTTTTTTTCTTTTTGGGTCATACCCGGCGATGCACAGGGGTTACTCCTGATTTTGAACTCAGGAATTAATCCTGGCGGTGCTCAGGGGACCATATGGGATGCTGGGAATCGAACCTGGGTTGGCCACATGCAAGGCAAACGCCCTACTTGCTGTGCTATCACTCCAGCCCTACCAGAAGTCTTTTAAAGAATGCATTTTCTTAATGACCTGTGCCAGTTCTTTGGAGTCTTAGGAAAAGACATGCTCTGTCACTCATTGGCTTCAGGGTTTTCTTTGTTTTGTTTTTTTTCCATTCTTAATTAATAGGCACCCTCCCATGAGGCTCTAAATAATCCCCACGGAGCCAAGGGGAGGTAAGCTATGATGCTTCAGAAAACTCTCTCCAACAACAGCAGAAATGAAAGATACCACAGTTCAGGGTCCAGCCAGAGCCTTCTCAATGTCAGCACTAATATCTTGGGTAATGCAACTCCAACCATGACATCCAGTGCTCTTAAAAGGAGCCGAGTACTCAGCCCTTAGGAGTCACCTTAAGCGATGGCCTTAGAGCATCAAAGCTCCAGAAATCAGGGAGGGCAAATTCTCCTTGAAATTATTGTGTTGTGAGGTGAGGTTTTTGCAAATAAAATCTAAAAAGATAAAAAAAAAAGAAAAGAAAGTACTGTGTTGTGGTGTGTGTGTGTGTGTGTGTGTGTGTGTGTGTGTGTGTGTTGGGACGGGGGAAGAACATACTTTTTTGGGTCCCTTTCCCTTGGACCAGGGTCTACTCCTGGCTCTATATTTAGGGCTTGCTTCTGGCAGTGCTCAGAGGACCAAACAGTAACTGGTGGGATTGAATTTGGGCCTTAAGTAGCAGAGCATGCGTTCAGTCTACTGAGTTATTTTTCTGGCCCGTAAGGCACATTTTATTTCTTTGGTATTCCTAGTAAATAGCTCTCAAGGTTGCATTGTTTCATGAACAGATGGATTGTTTTTGATCTCTGCAATTTTCTACCCTTTCAAAACTTCAATACTCTAAGACAACTCTAGTTAATCTAAGTGAACATTTTCCTTCAAGGCATAATTTACTTTTTTTTTAAGCTTTAAAATAAAACTGCAATGAAGAAACACTAAAAATCTAGACTTCAAAGATAGAAACACAGCTTTAATACAACTTAAAAATATTTGATTTTCTCAAAGCATTTATAGATTTTTAACTTCATAAATTTTTGAGTATTTTGTGTGTGTGTGTGTGTGTGTGTGTGTGTGTGTGTGTATGTTGGGGGGTGGGCAGGCTACACTGGGTAGTGCTCAGGAAAATTCCTGGTTCTGAACTCAGGGGACCATATGAAAGGCAGGGGTTTGAACCAGGGTTGCTGTGAAGTGACCACATGCAAGGCAAATGCCTTCCCTCCCATACTATGTTTCTGGCCCCAAATTCTAACTTTAAAAAACTAATTCAGGCACCTTAGTGATGAAGTTTCATTTGAGAAAGGAATCAGGGTTATATGAGAATAACCTGGGAACTTTTCCAACTCTACAGGTTGGCATGGTCTCCCAGAGTCTTGAGTGTTGGCGGGATGGCCATATGCTTTTCCTGTCAGTATGAAGTCACGGAAAATAGAATCCACCTTTGATGTACCCCAAATGAATCCACTGACCAAAATGGAATCCACTTTGATTTCCCACTCTCTCTTGACCATGCTCTGGGTGCTGCCCCTTGATGACCATTCATTCATAAGACAGGTCTAAGAGTCTGTTCATGAAAACTCTTCTTGCAAAAGCAAGCATTGGTGCTGGAGGTGATACACCCGTGGTTCAAGAAATATTGTACCTGGAGTGAAATCATCTGATCCCACACCAGGAGGCTCCTGTTCAGAGCGATAGACTACCTCCGGTGGCCAGCAGGAAAGGACAATAGTTTTCATTTCACAAGATGAAATATTTGCTGGGAGAAATGTGACACAAAAGAATGAGCCCTTGGGCCACTGGCTCTTGACAACATAGAAAGGCAGAGGACTGGGAGAGGCCCAGAGGGCCCCAGCCAACGTGACCTCTAGGTACTGTCCACACGTGCATCCCAGTCAAAGCAGAAGCCTTGACACTCACCGACAGGGCAGGATCCGGACCACGTCGTTGGGCTTGTACCCTTCGATGCAGACCGCGCAGTTGTCAAAGTCGGGCTCAGTCTCCTGCAAGAGAGAAGGCACAGATAACCCTCGTTCCTTGATGATAGTAGGCACTTGATGATGAAGATAGAAGGCTACTTGATGATGAAGGCACAGGTGAGCCTCACCCCAGAACCACACTCCTATTCTCCCTTCACCTCGAAAATGCACATCACCTGAAGGACCTGCCCCTGGGGCTAGACTCTCAACTGTCCAGGCGCCAGGTCAGTCAGTGAATCTTCCCCTTCTTCCTTCCAACAGCCACTGTTTCGTTTCTGCCTTCCCTACAGGCCCAGTCCATGTGGGGTCAGGGGTTGCCAGCTGTGTGCTAGGTGAACTCCTGCCCCTCCAAACTATTCCTCAGGCCCTCCTGCAGGTGCTTTTTTAATTTCTCTCTCTCTCTCTCTCCCCTCTCTCTCTCTCTCTCTCTGTCTCTCTCTCTCCCCTCTCTCTCTCTCTCTTTCTCTCTCTATCTCTTTTCTTTTTGGGTCACATCCAGTGATGCACAGGGGCTACTTCTGGCTCTGCACTCAAGAATTACTCCTGGCAGTTCTCGGGAAACCATATGGGATGCTGGGAATAGAACCCAGGTAGATAACGTGCAAGGCAAATGCCTTACCTGCTGTGCTATCGCTCCAGCCCCCCCTGAAGGTGCTTTTGTGAAGAAACAATATTAAAGGTTCTGGTATGAATACTGGTATTATGGTGAGAGCGCCTTTCTCGAAAAAGCTCCAAGATGAGACATAACTATTTACGGAGAAGAGGCTGAAACACTTTAACTACTTTCCCTCACGGCTCCAGTGTGCAGGGCTGGGAGATGTAGCTTCCAGCACTTTTTCAAGTAACTCCATAAGCCCCTTTGAATACCCTCCGAGTAGGTTACTAATGTCACAGTCCTTTGTCTTTTTTATTATTCTCGGGGAGAAAAGGTAATGAAAAATACTTTAGCTTTAATTATGATGATGCATCTAATTGCAAATCTCATTTCATACTCGGCAGTGAAGCTTCTCTTCTAAAGAGCAACAAATGGAACTTTTATGTCACTGAAAAACAGCAGCACTTAGCGAAGGAGACAAGTTCATTGTTCAGACTAGAGACCCACGCCTGGCAGGGAGGCTGCTCTCTCTCCAGAGGCCCCAGGGAGCTCCAAGTCCAAGCTAAGAGCTGTGGCTTGCAAATTCCTCCCAGACTGGGAAACGTTGGGAGCACCTCGGCCTGACAGGACTGCCTCATCGCTCCTCCTCAGCCTTGTGTCCACGTGGCGCCTGATGCCGTCATCCTACAGCAAGGGGATGCTGACTTGGGAGACCAGACAACAGGTTTCAGGGGGCCCAGACTGGACACGTAAATGGACACTTGGACTTGCTGTAAAAATTATGGGAAATCACGAAATTTGCTTTTAAGTGGATGGTCATGGAGAAGATCATGCTAAGTGAAATGAGTCAGAAAGAGAGGGAGAGACACAGAAAGACTGCACTCATTTGTGGAATATAAAATAACATGAGAACAATACCCAAGACAGTAAGTAAGCACAAGGGCCAGGAATACTGGTCCATTGTTGGAAGCCGGCCACATGAGCTGGGGGAGAAGGCAGCTGGGCTATAGAAGCAGCTTCTCTATAGAAGGGATCAATAAGACAATGGTGGTTGGAGGAATCGTTCGGGATGGGAAATGTGTGTTGAAAGTAGATAAAGGACCAAATATGATGACCTCTCAGTATCTGTATTGCAAACCATAATGCCCAAAAGTAAAGAGTATGGGGGAAACTGTCTGCCATAGAGGCAGGGGGGTGGGGGAGGGGTGGATACTGGGGACATTGGTGGTGGAGACTGTGCACTAGTGGAGAGACGGGTGTTCGATCATTGTATTAAACTCAATTATGAAAGCTTTGTAACTGTATCTCATGGTGATTCGATGAAGAGAAAAAAAAAAGAATTATGGGAATCATTGAATATCCGCTATTGCTTCTTTCCTGACAGTGGCTGCCAGAGAGCCCCATTAGAATTTGGGACACTTTGCATTTCAGGTAATGCCTTTGCATGTGAAGTTCATTCTGGTTCCACCTCTTTTACTTCTACTTTTCACTTTTGGGGCAGATACTTTCTTTTCTTGTTTTCAGTCCACAGCCAGCAGTGCTCAGGGCTTGCTCCTGGCTTTGTGCTCAGTGATCACTGCTAGGGGTGTTCGAGGGACTTGGGATTGACCCTGGGTCAGCTGTGGGCCAGGCAAGTGCCCTACCTGTTGTACCATCTCCTAGTACCACCCCTCCCACGTTTATTATACTTTTATTTTTTTTAATTTTCTTTTTCTTTTCTTTTCTCTCTTTTTTTTTTCTTTTTTGGGTCACACCCGGTGATGCACAGGGGTTACTCCTGGCTTTGCACTCAGAAATTACTCCTGGCAGTGCTCAGGGGACCATATGGGATGCTGGGAATCGAACCTGGGTCGACCGCGTACAAGGCAGCACCCTACCCACTGTACTATTGCTCTAGCCCCTTTCTTCTTCTTTTCAAGTTAATGACAACCTTGCTACCTTATTGGCTGCCTTTTAGAAGCTTCTTTAATATAACCATGGGCCCATGCAGGAGGCACGTTCTCCCTCTCCCGCCTCATTCCTTGGAAGGCCCGATGCCACCACGTGTAGCCTCCCACCCAGAACACGAAAGGCCATGGGTTACCTTGTCCCCCTTCTTGATGGTCCTGACCTGGAGCTTGCTGATGGCCTTCTTGGCCGCGTCTCCCAGGCGGCGCTGAAAAACCAAGACCTGCTGGTTAGTCATAGGACTGAGACTCCCGAGATGGTTGCTGCGGGCCCCTGAGAAACACAGTCTCTCTGGACGCGGGCCCAGGCGGTATGAAGGTGAATGCCAGCGACTGCAAAAGGTGGGGCAGTGGGTCAGGAACTGACTTTTATTAGAGGACAGAGCCAGACCTCAAGTGAGGCAAGTGACCTTTGACCCAGGGAGGTCCCGCCCTGGAGTAAGTCCTGTGCAGGTCACAGCTGTGAGGATGCAGAGGCACAAAAAAGACAGTGATGTGCTACTTCAACTTTGTGGACCGTGAGCTGAGAACAGCAACCTGGGGGCTTCGGAAGAAATCTCTTTTCTTTATCATACCCAGGGTTTGCTGCTTATGCATTCCTTCCCAGCCGGAAGCCGTTTTTTCCATGTTTATGCAGATCCAACCTAGGTTTACAAATCCCTAGTTTATATTATCCCATCATGTTCCTCTCGGCCAATTACACTCCCTTTGTGTATATGGGCGTGTACTTCAAGGAACATTCATAAAACACACGTGCTCATTTGAACAAATGACACCTGGGTAAGCACCATTATCCAGGCAAGGAAAAACCCGCTGTGATAATTCCGTGACAGACCCCTCGGAAGCCCAGGAAATGGCAAGAGGGCTTAAAAGTGAGGTTTAATCTGTCAAGGGAAAAAGCTGGTTTTCTTGTGTGCTTCTGAGTTTTCTACATGCTTTGCTTTTCTCCTAGGTAGGTATATTTCTCATCTGTAATGTATTTGCAGCAGTAATATATATTGTAAAGATCGAGATAAATGACAAGTGTTTAAAAATTATTATTTGCTTTCACTGAGTTTTGTTCCTTTTAGAAAGAACTCAAACTTTGTCCTTTATCTTTAAAATAATGAACATATACTAATGAACAATTAACAAATACAACCTGGGCACTACATAAAAGTTTTGTGTAATATCACCTTTATCTTTACAACAGCCATGTATGAAAATTTTTTTATTATTTTATAGAATGAACTGAAACTTTGAGGCTAAAGTAAATTGTTTAATAACACAGAATTAGTAATAGGTTAGTCAAACTGATGAAAACCATCCATTTTAATTATTTAATTGGCTATTGGACCACGTCCTGCGTGTTTAGGGCTTACTTCTGGCTCTGAGCACAGGGATCACTCCTGGCGGCTCGGAAGACCATATGTGGTGCTGGGGATTAAAAATGGGTTGGCTGCATGCAAGGCATGTGCCCTCCTCCCCATGCTATCACTCTAGCTCCACAAAACTGCCTGACTTTAAAACTAAACTAGTTTAGTTTAGCTCATGCACCATAATTTACGTTCATTCACCAATCACCCAATCATAAAACACCTATTTACTCAACCAATTAACCAACCAACCACCAACCAACATCTACCTAGTCAGCCAATCAAGGAACCAATGGGTCAGCCAGCCAATCACTCAATATTTGAGGATCAGGAATGCAACCAACAGCCCGCCAGCAAACCAATCAGCAGACAACCAGTCCAACCAATCAATCAATCAATCAATGAAGTATACCTCTGGCCAACCAATCATAATAGATCAAGTATCACCCCTCCTCCCTCATGCCCCCCAAGCTAGCTGTCCGAGAGCACAGATCAGTAACCCCCAAACGGGAGAGGTTCTATTTGTAAGTTTTCTCTTTAACATTTTGCCTGCAGTTTCTGGCATCTTAAATCATTTAAAAAATATTCCTTAAAAAATAAGGACCATGCATAGCTATACTAGAGGGGTGGGGAGCAGAGAGGCCACTCAGGTGCTCTGAGGGTGCTTCGGGTGGGGGTTGGAGCACATGGTGCTGGAGACCAAATTCAGGGCCTCACACACGCCAGGCATGTGCCCACCTCACCGACCCATGCCCAGTTGCTGGCACTTTCAACAGAAATAAGCATCGACTGCTTCCTCAAAAGAGACCTACATACACTTGAGACTTCTCTGGGAGTCCAGGAGTAGCAGGAAGAAAATAGAAATAGTCTAGAATGATAGGTAGGAGGCTGGAACGATAGCACAGCGGGCAGCCTGTTTGTCTTGCACGTGTCTGACCCGGGTTCGATTCCCAGAATCCCATACAGTCTCCCAAGCACCACCAGGAGTAATTCCTAAGTGCAGAGGCAGGAATAACCCCTGAGCATCATTGGGTGTGATTCAAAAAGAAAAAAAAAAAAGAATGACAGGTAGGAGCAAAGGAGGGAAAGAACAGAACCGAAGGAAACGAATGGGATGGCCTCTCTTCTCTTTTTCATGTCATAGCCTGGTCTGGCTGTGGTCCCCAAATCAGTCACTTCCCAGGGGAGCTCCTTCTGGCCACCTCCCAGAAAAGGCTCCTGGTTAGACCCTGTACAGTTCCACACCCTCCATCTTAGGATGTCACCACGCTTATAGTTTTCTGGGTTTTGATCAGTTCCCATTATTTTCTCTCATGAGGGCTGGGTCCATTTCTGTTTCCCACTGGGTTCTACCTCGAGAGATAGATTTTCTTTGAATCATTAGAATGCCCCCTCTCCACAAACATACACTTATTTCATCCAAGTTATAGCTCTTGGCTTTGAAAAAAATGTCAATGAACACAAGCACACACACACACACACGAGTGAATAAGAGCTAAAATAGTTTTTTGCTTGTTTGTTTTTTAAGAGGCAGGGAAAACCTCCCAAGAAATTTAATTCTTCCTGGGAAAGCTGATGGCCAAGATACCAGTAATCCATGTGGAAAGGTAAGCAAAGCTTCCGTGCTGGCTCTGACCCAGCCGGTCAGGCTCAGCGGAGGCAGCGCTTCCATGAAGAGCCTGGAGCAAGACTCGCAGGGAGCTGGTGACCGGGAGCAAATCTGACACTTAGAACAGAAAACGGGATCCAAAATCAACAGACGTGGGTTGTTTTGTTTATTCAGTCAGGCGCGTGGCTATTTATAAAACTGTACTTAATTGGTATTATATAATATTTGGCCTCAATTCAATCACACTTAAAAAAAATTTCTAAAGCAATGCAGAGCAATGAAGTGGCAAAAGTCATTTTCAAGCCATATCCCAGCGTTGACTCGAAGGAAGCCTGACTTTCTGTCTAAGGAGGTAAACCAGAAACCTGGTTCCAAAGTGTCATTCCATTGACACCAGTTTTTCAGCAAGTGAAGCCTGTGCTCCTTAACTGTGAGCAAAGCCGGCTTCCACTGTTGGCTCTTAATTAACTTTCCTTTTGGGTGTATTTGAGTAACAACCGCGTGTTTGCTCTAGGGTCACCAGCATCCTCACCAAGTTGAGATTCCCAGAGGCACTGGGGGTCCCCAGGTTCATCAAGGAACAGGACTCTGGGGCATGGCCATCTGCCCCCAGAAAGCAGAGCACGTGGCCACTGGGCTCTGCTGCACAGGGCTGGTGGACAAACGAGGGTTCCCAGGACAGGGCCTGGCAGAAACCATGACCTGGCTGGAGTGAGCACCTTGCAGAGGGAGCAAAGAAGGAGGCCGCAGAGCAGCGCCCCCTGGAGGAATGCTGGAAACTACTGCAGAAGTGCTAAGAACTGGGGAGGAATTCATGTATGCAAAATATGACAGGGGTGGGGTGGGAGAGAGAGAGAGAGAGAAGGAGAGGAAGAGAGAGAGAGACTGCGTAGGTCTGTCCTATCCCTGTAAAGGGGCCCATAGCTCTCATGATGCCCACACCTCTAGCTTGGTTTCGGCTCCCCACCTCCAGACTTGTGGATTGCGGAATACAGTCAGACTTCATGTAATGTCATCAGCAGGGCTTTTGTTGTTGTTTTGCTATTTATTTTATTTTATTAGTTTTGGGGTCACACCAGGAGGTGCTCAGGGCTTATTTCTGGCTCTGCGCTTAGGCGGGACTTGGGAGACCATATGGGGTACCTGGGATAGAATCCAGGTCAGCCTCTGCAAGGCAAGCATCCCCTACTCCCCTGCTGTACCATCTCTCAGGGCCCTCAAGTCAGTATTTGGGAAACTGCAGGTGGAGAGTGGAAGGCATGATGCGAGACTTCTCTTCGAGCTACGGCCAGAGCCGAGGCCAGAATCCAGCTTGCTTCTCCGCCATTTAGCTAAGATCAAGTGTAGTATCTCTTCTTATCAGCCTAATATCTGATACGTCCTCTATCCAAGGACAATATATTAAATGAGTTTTGGAACTAGGAGTTGGAATAGGAGCTTGCTCTGTCGACTCCACACATCGCCCTGGTATTGCAGTGCTTCCAGGAATGATGCAGAAAAAAAAACAAAACAAAACAAAAACCAAACAAACAAACGAAAAAACAGAATCTAGCCTTCCAGACTCCAGAGCAGTGTTCAAATGACCTTCTCTGTGTCACTTTACGGAACAGCCTTACAGCCCCTGTCCTCCATGGCACCGCCTAACAGACCTCATTCTGAGGGTGTTCAGTGAAAACCATCTAAGTCATCGTCTCAGGGGAACCACATGGAAATGATCTTGTCCAGGTAGAGTTGTGGCCTGGAAAGATCTGTGTTCAGGGATGATAATAGTGACTTGGCTCTAATTGGGATGTGCACAAAGCCAGCCGAGCAGAGAGAGAGCTAATTCAAGTCCAATCTTTCCCATGCCTGAGTCCTTGGATACTTCACTAATTAACACCTTTGCTCTTCCCTTTCAGCGGGAGACTCTCTCACCTGAGAATCAGGGTCCTCACGCTTTAATAAGTGACTTGATTCGATGCTTATTATAGCTACAGCACACACACACAGCTGCAACTTCCTGTTGAGTAGACAGAGCACTGTCCATTAAAAGACAAATATTTTTCTATAGGCTAAAGCACACTGTCTATTTTGATCAGGAAACGTGCTGCCTCGTGCCTGATCCCAATTTGAAGAGTGACCCTGAGGGTAACAACCTATAATTCCAGAAAATTTAATAGAATGGGAGCAGAGTAAAAACTTAAACCAGACCAACCACTTTTATACCATGGCTTTCCACTTTTCTTTTTCCTCACCTCACTGAGTATGCAAATGTCCACTCAGACTCTTTATCTTTATCAGGGTCAATATGTGATGGAAATAATTACTCAACTCATTGCAGCTTAAATTATTTTTATTATGATGATTTTGGGGTCACACCCGATGGTGCTCAGGGCTTTTTTTTTGCTCTGTGCTTTTAGAGATGATTCCTGTTAATTGTGTGTGTGTGAATTTGTGTGTGTGTGTGTGTGTGTGTGAGTGTGTGTAGTTTTGGGGCCACACCCAGCAATACTCAAAGATTACTCCTGACTCTGTGCTTAGAAATTATTCCTGACAGTGCTAGGTGGACCACAGGGATGCCAGGGACCAAACCCAGGTTGACCACATCAAGGCAAATGCCCTACTCACTGTACTATCGCTCCGGGCCCCAACTCTAGGTGATACTTCGGGGACCATACACAGTACCGGGGATTGAACTGTGAGTGGCTGAATGCAAGGCAAGTGCCTCAATCCCTGTTAACCTCTAACTCTCCAACCCCTTCAGCTTAAAATTTAATCCTTGCTTCCTCTATATATTGATTGCTAGGATTGTTCATAGTCTAATCCATATAGAAATATAAATCCACCAAGGGTCATTAGAGTATCTCTGCAAATAATTAGTCTGTGTTTGCATACTATGTACAGATAAATAATATGAATTTCTTCATACTTAATCCTTAGGAACCAGTGGGATGAAATGTATCAGTTCCATATTTATTTCACTGCCATGTGCCTAACTATTAAGAAATATTCACCTGAATCCCAAATATTCAGTAACAGCAGCTAATCTGGGTTTGAAGGTAATCATCAAGGAATCCATATGACATTAACAATGGATAATACTAATTAAGATACATGCTTAACAACAGAGGCTTTAAAAATGATACACAACTGCCTTGAACAGGCAAATCTGGGTTTGAGTGCCAGTATCACACATGGTTCTTGAACTTGCCAAGAGTGATTGTCGAGCACAGATGCAGGAATAAGCCCTGAGCACCACCAGGTATGTTCAACAAACCAAAAATTATAATGACACACATTAACTTATTTTACCTTTGATATCAGATGTAAAAGGAAGATATATTCCCATTTAGTTCAGAAAATAAAAACACAGATTATCTTGCTGATATTTTTGGTGAGTGACAGAACTTGAGTATTATGTAGATACTAAAAATAAGTTGTCAAAGATTCTTTGATGATGGGGGAAATACCACTTAATAAACAAATTATTAATAAGTAACTTAATAAAGAACTTGAGATCTGTGTTGCATTTTTGCAAAGATACATATTTAATGACAGTTTATTGAGCATATATCTATGTTTATATCTATATCTATGTTTATATGTCTCTATATAATTAAGCACCCTGAAAGGTAATGCTATTAATCACTAATAATTCAGTTGAAATAATATGGATTTTTGTCTTCTTTTAGTTTTTTCCTGATTGCCAAAATTTATTAGGACAATGATGGTATGTCATTTTGAAAATCAAGAGAAAATCCCCAGCAATATTTAAAAAATTTATTCCAGATACAACAGAAAATTTAAGGACCCATTACCACAAAATAAACAGGAAAAAACTAAAGATCCATCTCCTGAAGCAAACAATGATGAACTTACTGGCTTAGAGAAAATTTCTGGAAATATAAAAATAAGAATCAGCTGGTCCAGCGCTATTTAAGAGGCTCCAGGGCCAGAATGCCCACCAGAACTCTCTGTGCAGATGAAAGTGGCCTACAGATGCAGCTCTGTATGGCAACCACTGGAAAGATGGCAAGGGAGAGAGTGGATCAAAATGTAAAGTATTATTTTATCACAGTTAAGTGAAATGTGAATAGTTGTACCAGGACTCTCATGGTAGACCGTACCTCTCTATCCCACAGAAAATAGAAGAAAATGTGCGATTTCTTCTTAAGCCAGTATATTTGTTCCATAAACACGATTTTAAAAAACCCCATAAATTGTGGACAAATTTCGCCATGTGACTCTCAAGGTAAAAGTACACACATACTGAATGAAATACTAAGAAGTAGCTTTCAGAACATTTAGAGATCTCTGTGTCCTGAGAATTCAGAAAGGTTCTACAGTGTGAAAGCCATTCATGTAATCCACTGTTATTCGTGGATTAAAAGAGACAGTCCAGGTTGTACCAGTGAAAAGGCATCTGCTGCAACTGAATATCCATTTTGGAGGCTCATCGGAGAGCCCGGCAAGCTACCGAGAGTATTGGATATGCCAGACACAGTAACAACAAAGTCTCCAATGGAGACGTTACTGGGCCCGCTCGAGCAAATCGACGATCAACGGGAGGGCCTTTACCTTTATTTTTCTTTTTTGAGTCATTGAGGGTATCAAGGGAGAAATGATAATAATATCCAGCATTTATCTTGTGTGGGGTCCAATGGGTCTCCTTGTGTGTTGCTTTGTATTTTCTGTGCTTTTCAATCTTTCTGAGATCCATCTGCACTTTGGGAATAACTGTATTGATTACATTCATAATTGTGATCCATGATTGGTTACTCACCTGGTTCCTATCTCTGGCATTAGCATATCGGAATCTCTGGATATAATAAAAGACCAGCCAGGCGAGGGAGATGATCATGAGGACGATGAAGGAGATGGAGACAAACACCACTGAGGTGCGGCTCACGTACTTCTGCAGGTTGCGAGTGCCGATGGTGATGTACATGGTCACGGTGACATTCCTGTCCAGCAGGCTGACCAACTCCCTCCCTTTGGGCTCAGGAATCATGATTGCCACGATGTCTTCTACACCTGTTGGGAGAGAGGCATCAAAGGAAAGGGATGAGTGGGCGGATCTCAGGGAAAGGCTTCAACCAGAGGTAATGCAAATCAACCAACACAACCAACCAACCAACTAACCAACCAATCAACTAACCAACCAACCAACCAACCAATACAACCAACTAACTAATCAACACAACCAATCAACTAACCAGCCAACCAACCAATCAACCAACATAACTAACCAACCAACCAACAGACCAACTAACCAACCCAATTAACCAACACAACCAACACAATCAACCAACCAATCAACCAACACAATCAACCAACCAACCAACCACTCAACCAACACAATCAACCAACCAACCAACCAACCAACACAACCAACCAACCAACCAATCAACCAATCAACCAACACAACCAACCAACCAGCTAACCAACCAAAAAACAAACACAACCAACCAACCAACCAATTAATCAACCAACACAACCAACCAACCGACCAACTGACCGACCAACCAACCAACCAACCAACCAATCAACCAACCAACCAGCCAACCAACCAGTGCTATGAGGGTGCCAACTGCATGCTGGAGCTCATGACCAGGATTATAAATGCTGAGATTGCAGAGTCTGACACAGAGTCAGTTTTTCTACCTAGACTTCTATGCAATGCTGTCATCTCGTCTTTGAGAAAAGGCCCTCAAATGGGGCCTGAAAAATTGTGACAGTTCTCTTCAACTCTCCTGGTGACTGCTCCTAGGATAGGGGGCACCTTCCCAGTGACCCTGGTTTACAATTATGTTGCATTTCACGGGTCCCTGAGGAGGGGGCAAAACCCTCTGTCTCCCATGGTAAAGGAATAAGTGCCTGTTTTATCCGTGTGTCTGAGAGCAATCTGTTCCCGACACGGACTTGATGGATACTTAATTAACCACCACTGGCCTTTCCATAGCAATTCGCTCTGTTAATGCGGATCAAAGCAGCTCAAAATAAGGTTTCTTAACGACCTCTAACACAATTTTCCAGCATACACAAATCCTCTCAGAATCAGTTTCTGCTTCTTTTATCTAATTCAGTGAGTCTGGCTTGTGGCTCCCCAGACAATGCAGAGAATGGAGGCAAACAGATATCCCAAAATTTCATTTCCTGTGCTCTCAAATATGCACCCCTTCCACACACCTGTCATTGGCAACTCCCTTGGATTCTAGTCATCAGGGTCACTGAGCCTGTTCTCCATGACAGTAAGTGAGGCATAGCCCCTGGATGAGAATTCTGGGCTCTTGACCAGGGCATCTTTGGTATGGCTATGACCCAACCCCAACTGTATCCACTGGACATTCTCAGATGGGTAGCAGTGTCACATATAGGTTTGCAGGTGTTCACCACATGGAATGCCTGTCTGCACAACTCCTCAGGGGCACTATAGCTACATGCAAATATCACATTACTTGGGGGCACTGCATGTTAGAGTGAGCAAACGTGCCATGAGAATGGAACAAATTCTGGACAAATTCAATAGTGCTACAGCTGCCCAGAGCTGGCCCCTTCAGTGGTGTGGTCAGGGAGCCAGACAACAACACCAGATTCTGTTTTCTCTGGATCATGTAAGCCTCTTAGAAACCACTCAGGGATTTGGACCTGACCTTGATCTCAACACAGGTTTTGCGGTCCTAAATTCCTGGATGACATTTCACTTCGGATGAATAAATACTCTAAAAACACCAAAGGCACACAGATGTATCTGTGTAGGGGCCATCAATGACATATCCGAAAAAAATCTCTGAAACCTTAGTAGGGGCTCCCTGGTCCAACCATAAAGCCACAGATGGTTTCTAGCTAGCTGTGATTTCTGGGAATTACTCGAAGTGATGGCTTGGATTTCAACTTTGCAGAATTTACCGACAGTTCGGGGGCTCCTGCTCTTTGTGTGTTTACTTTGACTAATGGGTCTGAGTGTGGTCTGATGGTGGTAAAGGACTGTGCAGGCTGGCAGGTCTTTCCAGAAACGTGATCTTCTTTGTCAACAGGACCAATGGGACCGGAGGGAGGCTCAGGTGATGCTGCTATTTGATAGCTATTTAACTATTTGTAACTTTTTGCCTTGGTCTCTTTTTTTTATAAATTTTAAGTGCATATATCTTAGTACCTAGAAGTCATTTTTATTTAAGGAATATCCCAATTACTTATGAGATATTTCATTCTCAGACTTGCAAAATTTTTACATTGAGTAGTCGCATTTTACTAATATTTTCTTCTGTGATTTCTAAAATTTTGGGGGGCGGGGTTTGGCCACACCTGATGGTGCTCAGAGGCTATTCCAGGATCTGTGCTTGGGGTATGATCTCTGGCGGTGCTTAGAGGAACCATATTTGATGGTGGGGATCAGACCAGGGTGGACCCCATGCAAGACAAGAACATTCCCCTCTTGTAATGTCTCTCCAGCCCATGGTTTCCAGATTTGATCTCTGATTAGAAAACTCTTTTCTACCCAAGACAACAAAAACAGGCCTCAAAAATTATGTCTCAAACCTTATAATTTTGCATTTTACATTTAAAGCCTGAACGGCTTGGTAAAGGTAAAGGTAAAGGCCCTCCTGTTGATCGTCGATTTGCTCGAGCGGGCCCAGTAACGTCTCCATTGGAGACTTTGTTGTTACTGTGTTTGGCATATCGAATACTCTCGGTAGCTTGCCGGGCTCTCCGAGAGGGGTGGAGGAATCGAACTCGGGTCGCCATGTTGGCCGCTTGTAAGGCGAACACCCTACCGCTGTGCTATCGCTCCAGCCCATGCATTTTAATAACAATACAGTAGTTTGGGAGATTTGCTAGTGTAGCAGGCAGAGAGGAGACAGAGAAGATGCAGTTAATTTCCACCCCCCTAATTCTCAGGCATATTTGGGTTGACTGTTAGATTGTTTTACTACCAGATTTCCCTATCTTTTGTTGGACTTGCATCAGGCTGCTTTTGGGTTTTTTGTTTGTTGGTTTGTTTTTGTTTTGTGTTATTTTGTTTTACTTGTTTATTTTGATTCTTGGTCACACCTGGAAGGGTTCAGATTAAGGAGTCACTTCTGGTGGTGCTTGGGGAATCATTCGGAGATGGGATCAACAGCAAGGCCTCCCACATTCCTGCATGCAAAGTGTGTGCTCATCCCATGGAACTCTCCCTGGACCTGGGGTAGCTCTGAACACATTTATTATCTGGTAGCTCAACTCTTTCCTTCCTAATCCTTTCCCCGATAATTTTCCTATTATCTGCATGTGCTTCAGACATCATGCATCCCAAGGGAGGGCAATGCTCTGAACTGAAACGCTGTTTCCCGCCCTAGCTCAGAGAGTTAAAAAGACGCTGGAACCAAATTCTGGATATCCACAAAGTTTTAAGTTACCCATCATCCATTTTCAGGGATGTGAGCAAATGTTTTCTCTCTGCAGGGTAAAGGACAAAGAGCTATTTAAGGCTCACTGTTCAGCTCCACTGTTTACAGGGCCACACCCACCTGAGCCAGGACAAACCTTTAAAAAGAGGAGCAGTTGTACTCCTCTAGTACTGATGATCAATGTTTGGGCTTTGGGGACTTTGAGAGATTTCTCTCATGCTCTGGGGCTGTGCGTGGTGGACGATAAAAAGAAATTCTGGGCATACACCTTCATTACTGTTGAAACCATCACTCAAAATTGAGAGACTTAATGGCTCCACGGTGAGCTACAACAATATTCCTACATTTTCTTCGAAGGAAATGTTTTTTATAACAAGCAATATAAAATAAATGATTCAGGACCTGCTAGAGGGGCAGGCTAGAGGGGTGATTGGGAAAATTGTAAATAATGGTGGTGGATCAATGTAATAAATCATGAACAACTTTATAAAAATGAATGAATGAATTAAAAAAGTTGAGGTAGCCCTTAACGGTACACAGTGAGGAGGACTGGGCTAGAAGATGAGATGCAAGTGACAGAGGCAAAGAAGGGGAAGACCCATTGCAAGTTTGAGGTCTGGTGTGTCCAGTGACAGGAGGGCATGAATTTAAATATGAAGACAACTCCCTTATCTTAAAGAAAGCTTTTGTTCATTGAGATTCTGTGGTTTTCAATGTTACTGATGATGATTTCTCATGCACACAATTCTAATACCACACCCATCACTAGTGTACCCACCTCCCTCTCCTTAGAGCCCCAATTCCTCTCCCTCTCAAACCCTCCCCCCAGTCAATTGTGCGGGTCAGTTCTCAGCCCTGCCCTTGTTGCCCCCTTGCTGTGTGTTTTTGAGTCCCATCTGAGAGATCATCTGGACCTGCCCCTCTCCTGAGCGACTTCACTCAGCATGCCATCCTCTAGTTCCACCATGTTCCTGCAAATGGAATGATTTTATGTTTTCTTAGAGGTGCATAGTGTACATATACCTGAATTTTGCCTCCTTTGGGAATCTGAAGCTTTGGCATCAGGGAGATGACAAGCCTCCCCCCACCCCCCGCACCCCAACTGTCCCCAGTCTTCCCCAGGGACAGATGGTCTTTCACTTTGACTGAAGATTTTACTTTATTGTTTATTTTGGTGTTTGGGCCACATCCAGCTGTGCTCAGAGCTTATTTCTGCCTCTGCACTTAGGGATCACTCCTGGCAGTGCTCAGGGGACCAGATGGGGTGCCAGGGATCGAATCGAGGTTGGCTGTGTGCATGCTTACATGCTCACTATTGTCCTAGCCCCACGATTTTATTTTATTTTTCTATACCTGGCGGTGCTCAGAGGCTATTCTGAGTTCCGTGCTCAGGGGTCACCCAGAGTGGTGCTGGGAGGATTAGGCCATGCCCGGGCCAGGGATGGGGCCCGTCTTCCTGCACAGGAAGCATGCACTCAGCCTACTAAACTGCCTCTCTGGGCCATCCACTTAGGGATGGTTTTAGACTCTGGTGGTGTGAAAGCAATACAGGCCCGGTAGAAACTGGACCTCCCCTTTTGGATATGGAGCTTTCCCCAGGGTACCCAATGCAGTTATGGAAGCTGTGATGTTTGGTACCTGGGT